TCATGTCATGAGAGAGCCAGAAAGGTATCGAATAATGCCAGACATTATTTGTTATGATTAATTAAAAGTTGGATTTGCTTAATGACGGATTAGGTGAACAAAAAACTTTCCAAGGTCGATTAAAAATTTGGCAAAACTCGAAAGAGAAAACGGTGCAATTATATGTAAATTGGGTTAGGTTGCTCGCTCACGGCCCCAGAGATAGTGTTTGTGCATTAGTCATGAAATTAATTAATTAGGATAAGCATTCGTTACAAAAATGTATGTTGTATCCTTTTTTTTTTCTTCTTTTCTTTCAGTTGATGTTACAAAAATACGATCACTATATGACACAGAACACACGTGTACCGTTGATCCTTCTCCAAAAAAGCTCCGAGATATTGCTGACGTGGCGTAGATAAAACTAACTAAACCCGATAATTGGTTAAATTATATCTATCTAATCAGCAGCACTTAGCCTTAATCCGAAACTGAAACACGGTACGTTACATTTGTCTGCCAGATTTTTTGCTTTTATCCTTAGAGTTGCTCGAAACAAAATCTCTATTTATCTGTTTTTTTTTTTTACCTCTCACTGTTTTTACCCAAGACAAAGGTGAATGACGATGATCGCACGGCGGATCTGGCGATGTCATCGTTTACTCCGCCAATTCAGCTCGTCCTCTGTTTGCGCTCCGTCGTTTCGGGCACCGGAGTTTCATTCTCAGTCGTCCGCCTCTCCGGCTTCGCGCTCATTCCTTGTTCACTCTCTCACTGTAAGTTCCTTCAGACCAAATTTATAATTTTGTTGTGTTTTTTTGAAAAGATTTGTTTGAGGCGTGGAGAATTGTTTTGATTTCATGTTAATTTTGGGGCGAAAGATCAAACAAGTCGGGTCATAATTGTGTCGTAATTTGGCAGTTGATGAAATGGTGTGGAGGAAGTAGAAGCTGGTTTTCGAATGAAGCCATGGCTATAGATTCTAATGCAGGAGGGCTAATTGATGTGCCACTTGCACAAACTGGGGAAGGTATTGCTGAATGTGAGCTTCTCAAGTGGTTTGTCAAAGAGGTCTGTTTTTTTTTTTTTCCTTTTCTGCTAATAGATTCAGTCTTTTTTATTGCTCTTTTGGGGGTTTGATTGTTATAAGACTTATGAATCAGCCCATTTTGAGGGTTTGCTTTTTTTCTCAGGGAGATCTTGTGGAAGAGTTTCAGCCACTCTGTGAAGTTCAGAGCGATAAAGCAACGATAGAGATAACAAGCCGTTTTAAGGGGAAAGTAGCTCACATTTCACATTCTCCAGGTGACATTATTAAGGTTAGAGCCTACAAAATGAAGATTTCGTCACTTTTTATGTTAATCTTTAGATTGGTGTATCAGTTTAGTATGTTAATCTTTTGTGT